AAAAAAAAAAAAGATATTGAACAAAATATTTTAATGATGATATGAACACTAATTCCTTCTTCCCAAAAATGAAGCAGGAGGATAGGCAAGGGCCAGACCTTGTGCTGAACCTTATTGGATACTTCAGGAAATTATTAGAGTAGCCATATGAAGAAAGGGTAGATTTGAGGCAAACAGGTCTATAGGCAGGAGGACTAGTTAGATATAGAGCAACAGGCAAGAGGTGACAAAGTCCATAACCTAGATATTGGTGGCAGAGGTAGAGAACAGGGACAGATCTAAGAAATACTGAGGCAATAGAAGCAGGATGTAATAGTTGATTGGAACTGAGGAATTAATAACATAAGAATGAGGAATGACTTACAGAATTCGGGTTAATGCATGAATTGGTAACCCTGGTTGATCAAGGAAGAAGATCCAATTTGGAGGAAGATGGTGAGTGCAGAGTTATACTTTTGAATTCAAGGTACTTAAATGATATCTCACTGATGATATCTAGTAAGCAGTTACATGAGTTGAAGCTTAAGGATGAGAGACATATGCTGGAAATGTATATATTTGAGAGTTGTCAACATGTAGGTTGTATTTGAAATAGTAGAGTTGATGAGCTCACCTAGGAAGAGAATAGAAGTGGAGGAGAGACATAAACATAGGACCTTTCAGAATGCCACTATTTAGGGTACAATGAAAAGAAGAGGAATGTGAAGTAAAAAGAGTCAGAGTGATCTCAGGTGGACAAGAATCAGCAGCAGAAGGGAAAGAGAAAAGTACAATGACCCAGAAGCCAAAAGAATTGGGGGATGATGGCATAGGAAGGATTGAGAGAAGAAGCAACTGCAAAAGGAGGACTTGGAGAAAAGGAAAGCCAGACTTAAGAGTTATTTGCTGAGTACCAACAAATGAGTTGTGGGGCCATTTCGCTGGCAGAGCCAGCCAAAGGGGCCACTTCAGATTTCAGGCTTTCACCTTACTTCACTGCTTCACCCGGGTTTCCTTGTCTGCTAAATGGGAATAATAATACCTACCTCATGGGTATGTTGTGAGGATTAAATGTGTGAACATACTAAAACCCTGGACACAAGTAGGCATTCAACAGTGTTTGGGTTTTTTCCTCCCCTTTCTTCTTATAACTCTTTGAGCAAATATATTCAAATGAATTGACTAATGGTAGAGGCTTTTTCTCTGCTTATGCAGAGAAAATGTAACAAAGGTCATTTCTGTAAAGTTCCAAAAATTTCTTGGCACCAATCTGGAATTATTTTCCAAATCCAAATAATTTACATGTGATTCTTATCAGAATTCTCCATTGTAGTTTCTGACCAGCCTGGGCAACAGAGCAAGGCCCCGTCTCTACAAAAAATAAAAATATTAGCCGGGCACAGTGATATGAGCCTCTGGTCCTACCTGTTTGGAAGGCCAAGGTAGGAGATCCCTTGAGCCCAGGAGTTCGAGGCTGCAGTGAGCTATGATTGCACCACTACACTCCAGCCTAGGCAACAGAGTGAGACCCTGTCTCTAAAAAAAAAAAAAAAATTCCTTGTGTGAGATTCTGCAACTAAAATAATTACAAAAGGTTGGGCTAGCCACAGGAGGGATGGAAAATAATGGAATTGTCATAGTATCATAGAAGCTATAGAATGGATTATTTTCCTTTACTTCTTTATCTTTAAAGTTAGCTAAATAGGCAGAGAGAGACATACTTCTCCATGGTGTCAACAATCATGGCCTAGATTTTCTAGAGAATGCAGATTTGAAGTGCTCTATCCTATAGTCCTAATAAACCATCAAAATGTACTAGAAATTCTTGGCCTTTTCTCTGAGTTAGTGACATTTTATAAACCCATGGATTGTTAAAATTTATTTTAGTAGTTAATTAAGGATT